TACAATATAATATACAGTATAAAAAGTAAGGGAACATTCATACAGATGTGACAACATATATAATCAGTGGAAATTTTAGGTAGGCTTACTCCATTCCAGTTTACTTGATGTTACTGTTACATTTTAAAATTTAAGTATAATTTACATTTATTTATTTCACTATCTGTTTCACAGTAAACCTTCATTTTATACTGTATATTATATTATATAAGCTGTATAAACTACTTGTTTACAGACCAGAACTGCAAAGTAATTACCAGTTTTAAAACAAAGTATTACAGTATATCTGCTCATTTGTTTATAAGAACAAATTCAGAAAAATATGAGGACAGGGAAGAAAATATCTTGGTCGTTTTCACACCAAGCTCCAAGTACCTATATTAAAATGAATTAATCCAGTATGTCACAAATAATAAACTCCTTGGATCAAGAATGTTTTTATATATCTTCATACCTTTGAAAAATGGCGTATGTTTTATAAAAATAGTAGATAAAAGCATTCTTGTCAAGATGAAGAATAAAAAACAAGAAGTGCATGAAACATTTCAGTATTTTGTTTGTTTTTAACTTGATTTATATTATTTGAAACTGGTTCATGCTTGCATAAGCTGGTTAAAGCCTCTTTGATTTCTTTCCTTCTGAATAAATTCATCTTATTCATCTGAAGAAAAGAAAACAAAAAACTTATACTTACTCCTTTTATGTTTGTTAGCACGGAGAAGAAAACAAGCACCTTTGTTGATTTTGCTGCCTTGTCAGATTTACCTATTGGGCCAGGTGTTCACAGGTTTCACATTGTTCCAAGTTTGCTACTTAAACTAACTTTAATCTTAATCATGCAATAGCTTTATTGATTTCAAGCTGCAGAATTGTATGTAAGATTTTCCCCAAAACACTGGAACGTTGTAATTTCTTTTTCTGCAGTGGTTCTATATTTGGCCTTCTCATATTACTTCTTACAAGTAAATGTTAGTTCAGTGGTGGTAAGCCACCACTCCATGGAATCCTCTGTTTCTTGGAAATTTAACATAACATGGGGGAAGGGTGGACTTTGCTATTTAGGAGTGTTAGATTCGTGGATTTTTAGAACAAAATCTCCAATAAGTCTGGCTAGCAATTTTATTAGGACTATATTATGAAATATAGGCTCTTTTATGAGGATTCAGGTTAAATGTACAGGACGTCTATTCAGATTATTCATTAGGGAAAGGATTTCCTGAAAAATATAAAAAATAAAAATCATGCATGGGATGGGCTTTCTTTAAAAAAAAAATCTATACTTTGAATGTCAAGACCATGCTTTCTGTAAGATGACAAGAATGCAATGTTGTATGCTTTCCCACCCTTTCTCCTGTGCTTGGGATGTGTGAACTATTTATATTTACATTCAGAAAGAAGCTGAGAAACTGTGCTATCTTTTTGCTGAAAACCTCTTTTTCTTTTTCTAATATATTACTAGAAGTAGATAATTAACAAACAAACCCAAGTTCTTACTTTTCAGCGCCCTTTCAGCCAGTGAACAAAATGTAATTTGACTGCACAGAGAATACGGCTGGATCAGGCAGGGATTACGACTTTTCAGGGAGTGAGAAAAAGAATGTTTATTACCATTTCAGTACTATGCCATTCATTATTTCAGCATAGGATAGATTCTACAGAGAAGAAATCACAATCCCCCTTTTATGTTCACCTGATCTGAAAACTAAACCCTCATACCAGGGCCTTCAGATTAACTTCTAGTTTCTCTGAAACCACCACAAACCTGGCATGATTTTCTTCCTGGTCCAACCGCCAGGAACATTTAACATGAGCTCTCCCAGAGGAAAACAGCCATGAATATCAGAAGAACTAGAGTCAGTTGGACAGAAATATAAATTAGGAAAAAGTGGAAGATTCTCAGGAAGAAATAACATATGGGAGGACTGGAAGATAGCCACTTTAAATTGCATCGGTTATATTTCACAATGACTAAGGTGGTGTTCTGACCTAGGCTTCTCCAGCAGCATGAAGCCGAGTCCTCTTCCCGATAAACCCCTTTTATTTAATTTACAATGAATTCCCCTCCAGCAAAGTCCTTGCCCACAGTCTTTCAAGATCACAATTATCAACCTTTATTAAGCTTGGAGAGCGGCCAGGCCAATATCTTTCAGACCCCACAATACTTGGCAAGAATTCAGGAGTGAGCTAATTGTCTCCTGCAAACACCCCTCGCCTTTTGCTCCTCCTTTATTCCCTATGGGAGGGGCCATTCATCGTCCACCTGTGGCTTTACTGCCAAGTTGACCCTTGTTCCTTAGCTGTTCCCTTTGTCTGGCAACTCTACACATGCGCATATTGGGAACAGGCTCCAGCTGTTTGTCTGCCTCACTGATGTCTGACTCTGAAGGCAGCTGATAACTGTCAGACAGCCCTGGCTCCCTCTCTGCATCTGATGTAGAGCTCTCATCAGAGCCTTCCCCAGATTCCAGAGCCTTCCCCAGAGGCCCATGTTCCTCCCCAACCTCCACACTGTCCAACTCTGCCGCCCGTTCTTCTGGCCACTGGTGGGCTACAACAGATGGATAAAAGATTGGTGACTGAGCATTTTCTTAGGAGGCTCTTGAAGGTCTGAACATCATTTTCATAAATGGTGGGGAAGGAGGAGGAGACAGACTTACATCAAGCTGAGCTCCTTGGAGAAAGGGTAGGACATAAAGGTGATAGATAATTTCATATTGCTTGCAATACATGCCACATTAAGAGGTTGCATTTAATGAAACAATAAATTACAAACTGAGAAAGCAGTTTGCACCTGGGATTCTTAAGCTCAGGAATTTTGCCTGGCAGATTTATTCTACCACCTCTCATCACCTGCATGTTTTATAATTGAATGGCGTAAAACATTGTAAAGTAAATAAAAATAAAACCAAATATCAAAAATATACAGTAAAGGAAGAACAAGAAAGAACACATACAAGACAGCTAAATCCTTCAAAGCCTCTTCAAATTAACAATAGATATATTCATGCAAGAGTCTTAGAGCTTTTCTCTCTCTCTCCATGAATTGGTTTTAATGTGAATGTAAACCTTCCATTGGCCAAAGTGTGCATTTGAATTACAAATTGCTTGCTTTCTGGTTTAAATATTCCACTTTGAGAAGGATCTGACATTCACATAAATAGCCTGTGAAAAGCACTCTAAGCCTCATGTGTGGAAGTTCCCACAGTCCTGCAATATTTTCAGGCATCCTGAAATGTATGAGTGGCAATTCTGTAAAGGGTCAGCCCAGCTTCTTAAAACAATCCGGGATATTTTAGGAGTCCCCAGAAAGAGTTACACTATTGACTTAAGTATGTACATAGTAAAACTGCAATATGACAACCACGGTAAATTCAATCGCTCTTACTTATGGAGGTTAACAAGAGAGGCCCATCCCTCAAATGCCTTTGTTGCCACGCACGTAATAGTAGACCACGACTGTCAAGGCCGCCCTCTATTTGAATCGTTTTGGTCTATTGATTAGAATCCATTGATTAAAGATATATCAGAGATCTTTCAGCATGGCCTACACCCCCATGGATTAGTTGCACACTTTTTGCAGAGTTTGCTAATGTTAAAATTGCCTACAAGTTTGTACCCTAGCAAATACACTTACAATCCTATGTGTTGTGCAGTTTAGAGGTAGGACTGCCAGCTTGTAGTTTCAGAAAGAAGGAGCAAATTCTCCAAAGGAGAATCAAAGAGGGCAGGAATATTTCTGCTTTGCCAAATAATTATGTTCTTTGCTTCTTTGCCTTGCCTGTCATTTTTCACAATGGAGCAGCGGCAGGCACAGCCAGCTTTGCCCTCTGGCACACCAAATGCAATCTTGAGTTCCACTAAAGTCTTCCAGTCAGGATCCAAACCTTAGAAAAGCAGTTCATCCTAGCATGTAGCAATTGTGTTGCAAGCAGGCAGAGTGACAATAGCTTTGGCAAGCTGGAATTCTTCGTAGTACCCCTAATAGTAAAACAGTTTCCGATTTCTTCTTTTTACTGCAGTCCCTTCTGCTGTCCCTATGATGCATCAGGTGAGTCGCACCCCAAGCAGTATCACTTTGTCCTGGCCACAGCCTGATCAGCCAAATGGAATCATCTTGGACTATCAACTGCGCTATTTTGACAAGGTAAACTGGGAGGGGGGGGGGCAGACTTAAAAATTAGAATTTGAGTGTTGGTTTCTGTTCCAGTTTTACCATCTACAGCAAGTTTACACAATAAATTTTAATAAGTGCAACTGTTGCAGTGCCGTATCAAGAAACTAGGATTAGTCCAGAAAAGTTGTATTTCACCTACTAAGTTCTCAGCAGCCATAGAAACCTACAGTTGTCAGGTTCTTTTGGAGTAAACATGGGACTTTAAAATCAATTGAAGATTCTGGAATAGACTTCCCCTAATTTTTCTTCTCCTGTTTAGGAGGTGAGCATGCTACCCTTTTATATTACTAAAACGGTTGGGAAGCTGCCACTACCACAGGATCTCATCTTGCATCATTCCAGAGATAAACAAAGCAGAAAGGACCCACATGGGGAGGATAAAATTCCGTAGCTTCTAGACCAGAAAAATTTCATTTCCTGAATGGGCCACTAGTGTGATGGAAAAGAGCTGTATTGTTATTTTTGCCCACCACATTTTCATTTCAGGGTTTTCATGTTGCCAGGATGGGGTGGAAAATAGTTATAACAAGAAAAAGTCTTAGAGTTTATTGGAAGCCATATGTTATGAAAGAGTTCAACATTGCCAAAAGAGTGAGTCAGGGAAGCCATCCTTGGAACATGCAAAACATTTTTATTGTGCCTTTAACTATCCATCATCAAGAATAAAGGCAGAAGTAGGTAATTTGAAAGGGACACAGTGGATCAGTGGCTAAGATGCTGAGCTTGTCAATCAGAAAGGTCAGCAGTTCGGTGGTTCAAATCCCTAGCACCGTGTGAGTGAGCTAAAGTAGCAGCTCCCATTACTTGTCTCAGCTTCTGCCAACCNACACACACACACACACACACACACACACATACACACACACACACACACACTCCAATAACTAGCCATGGAGATGGTCAAGGGCCACATATAGACCATTTTTGGAGAGCCTAGGGCTGCAAAGGGGATGGATCTACATGCCTACAAGAAATAATGTATATTATTTGGGGATACGGTTCTTTGTTTTATCTTTATAACCCTAAACCTGGGGTGGACATATTTTAGGCTTTACCCCATCATTTCCATGAGATTCCTCCTTTGAAATGGCAAAACACTGACTTGCTGGTTTTCATCAGGCATGATCAGAAGGGCTTCCGATGGCTGTTTTTAGCATCCTTAGAGTTGTATGTTGCCAACCTTGAAATAAATAAATTGATTCCCCAATACAAATATTTACGTACCTCACAAATAGGATTATCCACCCACTTCTGTTCTAAATATATACCCTTCTCTGAACTTAAGTCGCAGCATTGCTTGTTTGTCTGTCTTCTTGTAGGGCAGAGCTGGCTTAGTTAGAAGTGCTTTCATTCCTTGTGTTCAGAAGTCTGCAACTTATGCTGGCCCATCTGCTTAACCATGTACCTCTAGCAGATGGTATATCATTTGTCTTCATTCAAACTCCTCTGGAATTCCTCTGAAGGCACTAAAGCTGGCAAACAATAGAGAACTTGTCTTTAGACAGTGATAGTACTGCTGAAGTGTAAGCAGAAACTAAGTTAATGCTTAGAACAGATAAAGTTTAATGTCTGAACAGGCAACCATGGGAGCTGCATAAGAGGCACAGTGGTGCTGTTTATGTGCATTATTATTTTCCTCACGCATTCAAATTCCATCCGGTTATGCTGAAAATCATGATTTATTCCTTGTTATATTGACTTTTTGTGTTTGGTATAATGTAAACAATGTCCCTTTATATTTTCAGGAATATATACCGCAGATTTAACTAGGGTTGAGTCATATCTTACTGGTGATTAAAGGGCTGTGCTTAACATATCTCATGAATTATACATTTCTGTAGGGAATGAGGAATACGATAGTTAGTATGAAATTATTAAATGTGTAACTTATTCTTCCAATTTGTTCTAGGTTTTGGTATAATGTTGCTGAATGTGGCTTTTGGAAATAGGTATACTATATACTACTCAGCCACATAATCACAACTTCTTTTCTTGCACAGGCAGACTAATTGGCCTGGATCTAGACAAGTGAGTGTAATTCATCCCTTAAATAGTTCCTTAATCTCAGTGATAATAATGCAGCTTCACTGATAATATTTTTTTTGAAGGGGACATTTGCATGAAGAGAAGCATTTTGAATACTTACAAATGCTGGAATAAAACTATGCTGAGTCACATTCTTAAGTGTTCTCAAAGCATTTCTTTCTTTCTTTCTTTCTTTCTTTCTTTCTTTCTTTCTTTCTTTCTTTCTTTCTGTCTGTCTGTCTGTCTGTCTGTCTGTCTGTCTGTCTGTCTGTCTTTCTTTCTACCTACCTACCTACCTACCTACCTACCTACCTACCTACCTACCTACCTACCTACCTATCTCATCCACCCACCCATCCATTGTCTTACTGAACTTAGCGCTCACTTGACTCAAGACAACTCTAATAGTTTGCATATTAAAATAAAACAATAAAAATTAAAAGAAGATCAAGAGATTTTTCTGAAAATGGCAACATCTGAGTTAATTCCCCTCCATGATATACAGGATTTTTACTTTTGCTGCAACATTGAAAAATCCCATGCTATTGACAGCCAGGGACATGGAGAAGTAAAAGTATAAGCTGATGACCTTATGATAGCTGCTACATGTTGTAGGACAGAGCAAAAGCAGCCATCATTTGATATGCTGGTCCACAGTGGGGGTGGGGGTGGGGAAATCAGATAAAAATAAACTCATGATAGGCTTTTTGGGGGGTGGGAGGGCCTGAGAAAGAGAATATGTCTCCTGCTATGACCCAAGAGTAATCAAATAATGGAGGAAGTAAGTAAAGCTAATCATTAGTAATTCTTATCCATTCTTCAATTGCATTTCTTTTGAGTAGTTAACTACCATCTGGTTTTCTTGACTGCAGTACAAGAGTCACTTATTAAAGTTTATGATCCCTAATGTGATAAACAGCAAACTGAAGGCAGGCAGTCACTGATCTTTTTATTAAAAAACCTGGCTCACACTGAGGACCTGCAGATCTTCAGAGATGGTTTATGGGAGCTAATTATCAAAGTGTTTTTAGGCACAGAGTTTGCATACCAACGCCTATAGAACTTACTAGGAAAGTATAAAAGTTAGAGTAGTGACAAGCGATCATGCTTGGTATTCAAGAGATATGGCATTTACAAAATGAATTCTAGAGTTGTGCTGTGCATATACACCGCGGATCCTCAGATTCTAACTCTGAGAATAAAATTGTTGTGGAGGCTTAAGCAAAGTCTGCTTGATTGCAGATCCACAAGCTAGTTTCTCTCAGATGTGGGCGCATGGATGCAGTTTGACTGCCTATCTGCATTACACTTCAACAATTCAGAAGCGGTATTAATACTTCATGATATTATGTACAAAATCATAACCTTTGCAAACAGATGCATTGTGCTCTAAATATGTTCATTTTGTGATAGGATAGGATACAGTGGTGGGCTTCTGGATGGTTGTGTGGGTTCAGGCGAACCCTTAGCTGTGATCGCTGATAGCTCCCTTGTGCTATGCTTTCTATATATATAGAAACTTTCTGGCTCGTTCCCCCTTCCCATGCTAGCCAGCTGAGTTCCACCACAACCCCGCTGTACTCACCGGAGCTGCCTGGGTTGATTAGCAGCATGTTTGAAGCTCCATTTCAGTTCCAAAGGGGCGCGTGCGAGTGAAGCGAGCACGCATGCATGCCCGCTCTCACAACCAGCAAACCTATTGTGAACATAAGGGCAACCCACCTCTGATAGGATAGGATAATGGCTGTATAGGTGGGTGGGTGGATGAGAGAGAGAGAGAGGGAGAGAGAGAGAGAGGGAGAGAGAGAGAGAGAACTGATGGGATAACTGTTCCTAACGACTTAGCCTATTCTAAAATTTAGTGTTGAAAGGAAGCTAGTGAGGTGCAATGGTCAAAGTGCAATGGTCAAAGATTAGGAGAGACCCAGGTTCAAGGCCCAACTTTAGTCTTGGAAGCTTACTGGGCGATGTTGAACCACTCCTCCTTTTGTTCAACCTACCACAGAGAGCTGTTTCTTTGTGGAAAAGTTGGAGGAAGGAATTTTAGGTATGCCACCTTGAGTTCCTGGAGAGAAAGTGGGATATAAATTTAACCTGATAAATACCTTAAACTCAAAACCTTGGGTGTTCCTTTGTAGCTTCTTCTACATCTGGATTTTCTGGCTGCTTCCTTGGCTTAGTATAAGAAAAATATATTTATTTATTTTAATGAATGTATTTGCGTTCCATCTTGTAATGAAATGACTGGCGGAAATATTCATATTGAATATTCACTTATTTCCAGCTTTATAAGAAAGTCTTCTAGCAAATACTGGTCTAGTAAAAATTGTTCTTGATTTGGGGGACATAAGGCAAAAATCACATTTACATTTTACTTGCAAAGTTTAAAAAAGATAAACATTTCCCTATCAGTCATGTCCGAATCTAGGGCGCTGTGCTCATCTCCGTTTCTTGGCCAAATAAGACAGCTTGCCTGAAGACAATTTCTATGGTCATGTGGCCAGCATGGCTACATGCTAAAGGCATACAGAACACTCTTGCCTTCCCACCAAAGTGGTACCTATTAATCTACTTGCATTTGCATGCTTTCAAACTGGTAGGTGGGCAGGAGTTGGGGCAAGTAATGGGAACTCACTCTGTTATATGTAGCTTGGGTCTCAAACCTGGGTTGTCAGCTCTCCAGCTGATAAGCTCAGTGTCTGTAACTGTTGAGCCATTGTGCCCCTCCACCCCTTACAAAAGTAGTACCTACTTTTGTTAAAAGTAAAAAGTACCTACTTACAAAAATAGGTAGGGACAAAATGGCCCTTGTTGGAAAGAACTTGGTCATGACATCTATTATTAAAGTTACTAGCAGTAGTTGTCCTATACTGTATGGAGTCTCCTTTTGGTTTCTTCTTAGAACTGAGATGAGTAATTTTAGGCATGAGTAATTCTACCCTATTTCACTCCATTGTTCTTTCACTGCAGACTCTTTACTGCGTGCTTCACTCAAGTTGCATTCAGTAAAGTATGAAGAAATTCCAAACTTAATTGCGGAACTGATACTTGCACCGTTTGCTGAAACCGGTGCTCCTGTTGTTTTGAATTTGGGGGGGGGGGTTTGAATATTAAGTGAGGCTACATCAGCAGAGTGTGTCTGCTGAGCAAGTAATATAAAAAGATGTAGCCTTTCGTATGATCTGTTCATAATAAAATAAACTTCTCAAATTTAGGGAGAGAAGATTCTTTTAAGAGATCAGTCACCTTGTCCACCCAAATTAGTATCCTTTGCTTGGATGGATTTTTGGCTGCCTGGCGCTTCTCTGAGCTGTGCCAGAAGGTGCCACGTTCAAAGCATGTGCCCTACTATTGAGCAATGGTCTTTTGACAAAAGATGCAGAAATTCAGCTTCAAAATGGGCCCTTGGTAGTGAAGACTTATTCCTACTTCTCTCCCTTTGGATTTATCTGCCCTCCCTCATCAATCCTCTGCTGTTTTCCTCACCTCATATAGCCACATAACAACTGTACATGCATGTATAGAGACATATAAAAATGCTACAAAAGACATATTTCATTTTGTTAAGTAGAGATAGTCCTTGACTTACACAGTTCATTTAGTGACTGTTTGAAGGTGCAATAGCACTGAAAAAAGTGACTATGGGGGTTAACAAGCTTGTACTCAATCCAGACAAGACCGAGTGGCTGTTGTGTTTTCCTCCCAAGAATTTGGCTATTATTCCATCACTCAGGCTGGGGGGTGAAAATTTACGCCCCTCAGACAGGGCGCGCAATTTGGGAGTCCTCCTGGATCCACAGCTGACTTTAGAACATCTCCTATCGGCTGTGACCAGGGGGACATTTGCCCAGGTTC